AATTACACCAAGTAGTTACAACTGTCATATAATGCACCAAACTGATAATCATACATTCTAATAAACTAAACAGTTACACCAAATAATTACACAAAATTATGACATCAACCCAATTTGTCATTCAATTATTTAGATAAACTAAATAGTTGCACCATTTAATATCGCGACATCGTTACACTAATTATAAATACCAAATTTAGTATAATGATAAAGTCTTTTGAATAACGATAAACCCAATTTAGTGTATATAATTGGTGTAATCATGTCATGATACTAAATGGTGTAATTCTTTGATTTATGTAAATAACTGAATGACAAATTGAGTTGGTGTTATAATTTTGTATAATTATTTAGTGTAACTATTTAGTTTATTAAAACACACAAGTAACTGTTTGGTGTATTATAAGGTAACTATAACTAATTGGTATAACTGATTAGTGTAATTGTGTTGTTGTAATGTTGATATAAGGAGAGAGAGAGAGAGAGAGAGAGAGAGGGAATAATGAAATAAAGGGAGAGGGAGTAAGAGAGAGAGAAAATAGGGGAGAGAGATGAAAAAATTAAATCAAATCTTTAGATATTTAAAATTAAAAATAAATTATCAATGTGAGAGAAAGAGAGAGAAATAGATAGAGAGAAAAATAGGGAAGAAAGAGTAATGGAGAGAGAAAGGGGGAGAGAGAGTAATGGAGTTAAAAATGGTCTTTTGATCTTTTTTTAAAAAATAGTACTTAGCATCAAATAAGTTTCCTTAATGTAATTTTGCTCAAATAAGTCTAAATTTTTATACTGGCTTCCAAACTACCAAAAAAAAAAAATTATATAAGGGGTACACTTTTCAATTTTCACATCTTACTCCTCTTAAAGTCAGTAGTCCAAACTTTTCAGCCATTAAGTTCATATGCTCTTAAGTTCTAATCTCTAATCTTATTTGATTTAAACAATGACAATTTAATACATTAATAGTGTATATTACTCATGAGAAAGTTAATAGACACTTTTATTCAAGTCTTCTTCATCTCTACACGATGGAAGTATAATTGCAACTATCATTTAGGGCAATAAAAACATGATAAATAGTATGTCATTACAAATTAAAGTCATGGAAGTTAAAAGAGCTTAGTGCAAATGAAGGAACACAAAAAGTCATAAAATTCAAATGTTTAATGAGTTGCAAAAGGCATATGTTCCAAGTATAAATTCATTTCATCCTCAATCCATAACAGCTACCTCAGTTACACAAATTACAAGCAATACAATTCAACAACAAAATCTTCATTTTAAATTTGAAATACCAAAAATAAAAATTTGAAAAACATTGCTATGGTATTAAAATCAATTAAAACATTTGAGGACTTGTTCCAATTGAAATTTTAAAAACCAAGTTAAAACATGACTCGTACTTGAAGAATATAAATCTTAAAATGCTTAAATAAAAATTATACTTCAATCTAAGGTACATGCAACACATGTGTTCAATAACTAGTATGCTATTAAATGTCTGAAGAGAGAGAGAGAGAGAGAGAGAGAATAAAGACGAAGAAATTCAAGTTTCTACTTCTAGGATCACGTTCACACACAGGTAAAAGCAAATCAAAGGACGGTAGAGCTTCTTCCTTGTCCAATTCTCATTTATGATGAATTAAGGATGGAAGGATGACATATAGAGAGAGAAATTTTTGGCTTTTGCTTTTTTCTTGTTTTTTGGGGTCCCCTATTCCTTCACCGATGTTATGAGTCAATGAAGTCGTTATTTTTCTGCCTTTAATTCGATTCTAAGAGAGAGAAGTATCAATAGGTGTTTGGTTCAATGATATTCCTTATTTTATAAAGATTTTACTTTCTTGAGGTCAAGAGTTCAAGCCTCCTTCCCCTTCCCCTTCCCACGCCCCCTCCCCTACCCCCTCCCACTCCCCCTCCCCATCCCCAAAAAAGAAAGAGAAGGTGAATACAAGAATGTTAGATCTGTATTTGTGGGTCTAATTTTTTTTCCTTCGTCGGTATATCACTTTGTTTGGTTTTTGTTAAATCCTTTTGCCAAGATGTTATCAATTGGACTAATTTGATAGTGTGGACTTCAAGTGTGAATTCAATGTATACGAATATTTTGTGACTTCATAAATTGAAATCACAATTCTAATTTATTAGAAGGCATAGCCAAAGCTCTAGCAACAACTCATTCATCATTCTCTTTCAAACAAACCCTTAAATTTAAATATTCAGAGTTACAGGCTTCTCCTATTTTTTAATCAAAAACATCTACAAAACAATTACCAAAACCCCTTTTCATAATATATCTTCCAATGCCCAAAATAAGTACAAAGTTTGACAACAATGAGTGAATTCAGAAACACCTAACAATTTAAAAATAAAAAAATAAAATACGTAGATTTTCGAGATAGTGTGATTACAAAGAGTGAATACATAGAGTAACTAATTTGACTAAAAAGTATGCATACTTCTTACAAGAATCAAAATGGTATTAGTAATCATTGAACAAGATTAGAACATAAAACAAGACACATTTTTTAAAAGTTTTGTTACAAATTAAGGTTTTATCTCATAAATTTTGGAAATTTTAATACAACAATAATATTTAGAATGCAGTCATATTTCCGATAGCAATAGGATTAGAAACCTCACTTCTTCAGTTGATGGTATTAGAAAGAAGCCAGAGCAGAGCAGTCCCATTTATTTCGAAACTTCGTACTACAATGCAAAGCAAACATTTTTTTTCGAAGATACTAGTCAACTCCGCAATTATTTGGTGAACGAAATCAAATGAATTTTTTTTTTTTGAATTAAGATCCTTAGCTTTAGTCATGCAAACATCGGCTGCTTATGGTAGAGACGTGGTGACATTTCGATTCGAAAACCACAGATGTGGTCGACAGTTTCCTAATGCAAGTGATGCATTATAACGTCAACAAAAGGCTAGAATAGATATTTTGCATACCTCATGAACTTTCTAACTAGAATGTCCCAAGGAAGCAAGGAAGATAAAGTTGAGGGCCTCGAGGTTTCGGGCCTCCTCAGATCAAAAGTTATACTGAAAGTCATTCTCAGGACCCTATTTGCTTTGTTTCTGTGAGGATAAAGTTATGCCCCTCCTGTAGACGTGTATGAAGGCATACACGGTGGGCACTCCAGTGCAAGGTCCATGGCTCATTAGATCAAGTCACAAGGGTATTTGTGGCAGCGGATGCAGAGGGATGCACATGCTTACGTGCGAAAGTGCAACCAATGCCAAAGATTTGCACCCACTAACTAGCCCCTGATTGTTCACCCAATGGGGACCCGACTTGGTTGAGCCTTTTCCAAAGGCTCCTGGGAATAAGAGGTTCCTAATATCGGAACCAATTCTTTCACAAAATGGGTTAAAGCTGAGTCGCTGACTCATATCAGGGACACGGACACCAAAAGGTTCGTATGGAAGAACATAGTAACAATGTTTAGGATCCCCCGTGCGCTTTTATCGGACAACGGGACTCAGTTTAACAACGGGCCTTTCAAGTCTTTTTATGAGCATCTTGGAATGCAAAATTACTACTCCATGCCTTCAGACCCTCAAGAACGGGCAAGCAGAGTCTTCAAACAAGACTATCATCAATGGAATTAAGAAGAGACTGGAGAAAACGAAGGAAAAATGGGTGGAAGATCTTCTGAATGTCCTTTTGTCTTACAGGACAACTCCATAAACCTCAATTGGTGAGACACCTTATGCCCTTGCCTACAAAGTAGAGGCAGTTATCCCATTGGAAGTAGGTCTCCCAACTATAAGGACGTAGGCTTTTGATACGGGAAAGAACGATCACCAACTCAACTTGGGCTTGGATCTAGCTGAAGAAAGAAGAGAAAGGGCTACCTTGCGGTTAGCGAAATACCAAGAGGCAGTGTCCAAACTCTACAATAAAATAGTGAAACCTCAAAATTTTCAAGTAGGCGACCTGGTGCTCATAAGAGTAGTTAGGAATACTCGCAACCTAGCTGATGGGAAAATGGGATCTAACTAGGAGGGACCATACAAAGTCATATCGATAGGGGGCTCTAGATCATACAAACTAGTAGACATAGAAGGAAATGTCATACTTTGGCCTTGGAATGTAATGAATCTAAAAAACTACTACTTTTGCATAAAAGAACTTATTTTGACTAAGTGTGTTGTCTAGGAAGGGGCATGGCCCTAGAGGAGAGGTGCGCATGCCACCCCCATCGTCGATGGATACAAGGGAATGGAAATTCCCGATGGGGCATGGCCCTAGGGGCAAAGACATTAAATAGACTCTTGCCCCAAAAGAGACCCAAGGAGCAGAGCCTTTTGGAGGGGCATGGCCCCAGAGGCAAGTCTTCAAGGACTCTTGTCTCCAAAAAGACAAAAGGAGCACAACCTCCTAGACGGGGCATGGCCCTAAAGGCAAAGTCTTCAAGGAAGACTCTTGCCTCTAGAGAGACAACAGTAGCAAAGAATCCTAGATGGGGGATGACCCCAGAAGCAGAGTCTTCAAGGAAGACTTGCCTCCAAAGAAACAAAAAGAGCGAAGCTCGTGGATGGGTCATGGCCCCGAGGGCCAACCCTTGAAAAAAACTTGCGTCCAAAAAGACATAAGGAGCAACTTCTCCTGGAGGGGCATGGCCCCGAGGGTGAGGCCTTAGAAAAAGACTCAGCTCAAAAAGACAAAAGGAGCACAACCTCGGCCTAGTCTGGGGGTGAAGTCTTCTAAAAGGGCTTGCCTCCGAAGGACCTAAGGAGCCGAAGTCTCTAGGAAAAGACTTGGCCCCGAAGATGAAGACAGAAGAAAAGAAAATGAGCAAACACTTACTAAAAGAAAGGCATCCTTATATTCCAAAAAAGAAGGGCTTTGCGTCCCTCAAGCTACAAAAATTAAAAACTAAATTTCCAGTAAAAGATATGCTCTATGAAGCACCAGTGACGTTGCCCCCGATGCCACCTCCAATGTCATTGAAAAGCTCATCGATGCTAGCAGAAAAAGAGCCAGTACCACGGGGAGTAGGAGGCTTCGCCTTGTGGGGCAAGAACAGTTTCGGTAAGGGCAGGGGCGTCATCGGTAGAAGCAAGAGCAACCTCGGGCTGAGGGACATGAACAACCCGAGGAACAGGAGTAGAGGCAGTTTCCTCTGTCGATAGAGCTTGATCTGGAACTTGGAGGACCCCAGCTTCTTCAACCTCAACCTCAGTTGCAGCTTGCTCCATCTCGGCAAAGGGAATGTACTCGTGTTCTTTGAAGAGTGGGGACTCGACAGGGATCCCAGTAGCCCAAAGTGCCTCATGCCATCCACTCTTGAAAATCTCCCTCTTTGTCTCCTCAAATGCCATGAGGATGTCGTCGGCGCATTAGTTGACGATCTCCTATTCCAACAGCTTGTTAAATTCCAACTCAAACCTCAAATTGTCCAACTCTTGGGTGAGGGAGGCACAAGTCTACTTTGACTCAGCTACTCTCATCTTAGCCACAGATACCTGCTTCGCCGCCTCAGTCATCCTCTTACCGACGTCGGTGAGCAGAGCCTTAATCTTATCAACCTTCATCTTGGCACTTTGGCCCTCTTTGAATAGCTCACCAATCTAGGCCCCCTACGTAGCTAGCATCTTGTCCCGCGCAGCCATCTCTTCCTTAGAAGCAGCAAGATCTTATCGGGCTTTCTTAAGGTTGGCGCGGAGTTTTGTGCCCTCGTGGACCTTGCTCCGATGAGCATGAAAATGCTCCATGATGATCAACACCTGTTGTGCTGCCTGGAATACAAACAAAGGGAAGCTAGATGCCGAGGAGTGCATTAAATGAAAAGAAATACGCACAAGGGTTAACTTTACCACCAAATAACTCTGAATTAGGGAGAGGAATAGCTAGTTGCTCACACACCCCCCGATGTACCTCTATGTTGGCATCAAAATAAAGGTTTCACTCATGGCATGGGTGACATGAGGAGAGGCAACGATGAAGTCAGTTACCCAGATCGGGTGATTGTCACGATCTTGGGCCATAACATGCCATTCCGGAGCAACTGGTGGCCTCGGCATTGGGGTCGATGTAGGCATCGGCATCGACGTAGGAATCTGACAGGTGAGTCACGAGGTACATGGTTGGGTGTCGGGCTTTAAGATATAATTTCTACTGAGGCATCACCCTCACCAAAGTGTAGTAGAGTAGGATGTCTTCCAAGTCGAGGTTGACTTGAAGACGTTCATTCAAGGCGATCACCCTCGTGATGATCCTAAAAGTGTTTAGGCAATGTCAGCACTGTTAAGAAGGGCGTGGTTGCCTTGATGCCAACGTCGTCATTGTGGAGTCCATGTACGAACTCATTAATGATGACCCCAAGGCGAATGGAGTAATGAGTCTTAAAATTGGTGATTTGTTGGTGACCCTTGATTGTATACTTCCTAGGCCTTGAGGGACCATCCTTATCGGCCTCAGTATTCATATTTCGACAACATCTCATCATAGAATAGACAAGAGGAGGCTCTAAAATAGGTTCCTAAATATGGGGCCCTAAGGTTGGGTTAATGAGGACGGGGACACAGAACGGTGCAACTACTAGGAGAGGCAAAAGAAGGGATAAAAGAAGAACGATCACTGCTAAAAGAGAAAGAATAACAGTTTCTCACCAACAAACATGACTGTGAAAGAGATGAGAAGGTGGTGGCCTACAATCCCCACTGGAGAAAATAAGTAAACTGGTGGCTCACTAGTGGAACTACGACGAAAGGCTCAAATCTCACAAGACTTGTAAATTTGGAAGAAGTAGGCAAGGGCTCTGTTTAAATAGGGCCAAGACCAATCATTGCTCACAGATAATGAGGGGGCACATTAAATAAGGAGTGAGCCCCGAGGAAAGAAAAGCAGTTGCACGAGGAGGCAAGGGTCAAACCGTTTCATCTTCCTCCGCCACGTCATGTGGTCCATACGAAGATCTAGAGCTGGGAGACAGTTGATGGGACATGCTCAGAGATCGATGGGGAGATAACACGTGTCCTCAGCGTGGCAGACTTGGACCCTCTATGAAGAGACACGTGTCCTTAGTGTAAGTCCCCTCGAAGTTCTTTGTAACAAACATGTGTCCTTGACGTACATGATTCTTGAGACGTTGAATGATCAATACATGTCCTCGACGCCTATGTCCCTTGGTGCACTAGACGCTTGACATTTGTCCTCGGCATTTGCATCCCGCTGAAGTACTTACTACTTGACACGTATCCTCGACATCTTTGGTCCCTCAAGGGACTTCCCATCTGGCACGCGACCTTAGCGTTAAGTTCCCACTCAATCGAAGTGTTGACAATTTTCCTAATGGTTGGCCCTTATAAAATAGCTAAGTCCTTAAAGAAGATAAAGAGAGGGATCAACTGATCCAAGCATGCTACCGATTAAGGTCAAGCAGAACATCATCACTTGGATGTGGAGTGGAATGTCAATCATCAGTTCCCCTTTTCCAAGGCAGTCAGAGTGGCAGGAAAGACGGATCAGTAGCTAATAATAAGGGTGTATGTAGTACAAAGCACAAAAGACATGACCTCTTGGAGGTAAATGGATGAAAGGGCCCTTGCACATGTGTAGCCACAAATAGGGCACATTAAATGACCCCCTCATTAGGATGGGACACATTTATTGCTTGACAGGATTAGAAAAACGAGCATTAAATACCCGGAGATCCGAGCATTAAATACCCGAAAAGCTTCTACCACATGAAAAGGAAGGTTCACTGCTCGAGTATTGAGCACCACCAGTTGCCTTCCAAATGAGCAAATGGGGAGCCTTCCGTCAAAGGGACTCAGCTATCCGCAATGACTGACTCCAAGAAGGTATAAATAACTCTCACCAGCCTAAGTCTAAGGTACACAAAACCTCACCTAAGGAATATAACATTATTTTTCCAACTCTCTCTCACATACAGATTTGATTGTTGGAGGGATCACACTGAAAAATACTCTAGCGCCCTTCTAACCCTTCTTTTTGACTGACAAAACCCAACTCAATAGCTCACGAGTGAGCAGATCATTCATAAAAGAGTTTAATCACCATCCATTACGACTTCTCAACACCCATTTGTTGTGAATCTTTTGACTTTCTAAACAAACTCAAGTTTATCAACGGTGAGATTTGCCAATTTTTTATTGTGTCAAGATCACCTTGTATAGTTTGGATCCTTACAGGTATCTCGCAAGGATAGTCAAAGAGAAGAAGAATCATATCAAGGGCCTTTTTTTTTGCTGCTACTGGTTAAAAGACTTGTATTTGGTATTAGTAGGTTGGTTCCTCTCTATCTAACATAAACTTTGTTTAAGATGTACGTGTAGACAAAATTATGGATTGGTTTGGCATAGCAAGCCATCTTATATAGATGCAATGGTTATGTTGTTTCTTATACTGAAATACATTCTTTTGATTGCATATACGTGTAAAATAAATTCATTTTGTTTTCTTCGAGCACTGAATAAGCTTTAAATGAACTATAACATGTTATTGCTTTTGTTTTTATGGATCGTTGATATTATGATTGGGGTTTGTGAAAAATTTGCAGGATTTGAGAATCTTTTGGATTTGGTGGGTGTGATAAATTTGTGATTTGTTTATCCATGAAGGTATGAACCAAATTTCCAAAATCACCATGGTGCCACATAACTTCTTGGAAGTGAGATCTTGGGGTGTCTACAAATCAATTAATTGCATGATAGTTAGTATTTATACATGTGACATTATTTTCCTTATAGACAGGTGAAACCAACAAGAAAAAACTGGAGCATACTGCTAGCAATGGTATGAAAACACAGCTTTGGAATTAGAACTTCATCACAATTGATATTCAACATCAAATTTTGGTTGTTCAATTTCATCCTTGAAAATTTGCGTCAGTAGACTTTACTTTTAAAATATATTTGACTATAAACAAATAATGGCAACCTCATTTGCCTGCTAGTAACAAATTTAAATTATATAATTCAATTGTTAACTGTGTTCATAAAGAGAGGTGTCCATACATAACAATAGATTAATTGATCTTTATAATTCTATTGACCTTGTGTCGATGCTTTTATGAATCTAAATCTCAAAAACAAAAAATGACTGATCAAAATAATCATATAAAGGGTTAATAGCACTTTTGGTTTTTAAAATATGCACGTTTTGTCAGTTTAGTTCCCAAAGTATCAATTTTATCAATTTTGTCTCTAAACTATTCAATTCGTGTTTAAATAGTCTCTACACAGTCGGACTGTTAAATTTTTGACAAAATGATCATGTGTTGGTCACGTGATACCATCTGAAAGAATAAAACGTTGTCACTTCTGTGAGACCCGAGCACATGTACCATGGCATTTCATAAATATTGTGGGTGAAAGTGTAATTTGTTAATATTTATGTGGGGGAAAAATATATTAATTAAACTCTAATAAAGTAAGTATGTTTAGTTAAGCAATTGAATTACAAGGTAGGAGAGAGTATAGGTGAAATTTAAATAGTCTTGAGAATTCACGAGTGGTTAAATGTGGGAATAAGCAAAACAAGAGGGGTTTAGTGTAATTATGCTAACTCTTGAATGAAAAGGACACCTGGTTGTGTCTTGCTTCTCCAACCATGAACCTTTTGGAAAATATAAAATGGGAAAATGCTTCAATCGATGAGTGGAAGTTAACAGAAGAAGAAAAGAAAAAAAAAAGAGAAAAGGTAAGAGAAGAGGAAAAGCTTAGGGATTTTAGAGAGAGATTCGCTTGAGTGCATGTGTTCTTCAGTGAGAGAAATCTTCTTCTTTGAGAGTTGTGTGATCTTTGATTGTGCAAAGGAGTGAAGTGGAGTTGTTTTGAAGAATAAAGAGGATTCAAAGCTATTGGATGAAATTCAAAGGAAAATCAAAGGAAGCTTAGGTAAATGTTGGGTGGTATTATAAATGAGGTTGAGTGGAAGAAAATAGAGTTTGGACCAAGTTCTGCAATTCAGAACAAGGTTCAACCAGTTGAACATAGTATTATTGCACACCAACCATTTGAAGCATGTATTGAACTGATTAATCAGAGTTCTAGAAGGGTTTCAACTGGTTGAAGGGTAACGACCAATCGGTTCATCAGAGCTAATCTTGACAAATTTGATGTGATGTTTGAGCTCTTATACAATTGATCTAAAATCTTATCAAGGTACTTAAAGGATCTTAAATAAGCTCCTTATGGGTTTAATGGATTACAAATACATGGAATGAGGATTC